TATGAATTTAAATAATTCCTTTTATTTGAATTAATTAACTTTCCCATTTCCTATGTAAAGTAGAGCACCATTTATTACCCATATTCTACAGACTAAGAAAGTGAGATAGGCAGAGAGGAGCTCCATGCCAAAGAAGGCAACGGAAGAATGAACCTGGACAAGATGGATATAACATTTCTAGTGAGATCAGTGGGTGTTACTTAAATCACATGCTGCTATGGGTCTCCTGACACCCACTCAYGAGATTAAAGACATGATGTTAAAGAACACCACTAGGGACCAACCAGCAATAGTCTAAAACTGTAATACTGAGCACAACCAGCCAGACAGTCAATGCACTTACATCACTATCAAGCCAAATTATARGAATTGCTTAAACCAACAAAAGTCAGACTGCCATAAGTGATCACGTTAACCTTTTCTCTTCTACACCTCATTCTTTCACTTTTCAAAGGACAGCAAGGTTTCCAGAATAATCCTCTACACACTACATGTACTCTTTTTCCCAATTCAGGGTCCAGGATTGTAAAACGAAATCTGAGATMCTTGCAGTCACACAATTTCATTAATTAGGACCTGGGGACAAATATACAATAAATGAAGATTGACAATGGCAACACTAACGCTCTACAGGTGTCAAGAACCAATGGGTAACTACATGGCAGTCACTTGGTCAAAAACACTAGCCAAGAAATTTTAAAGACAATCTTCAGTCTGCATAAAGGAGGCTTTACACTCCTAGCACGCTTACTGAGTATGTTTCTGAACACCACCATCACTCCTTAAATATGCTCTCTGGGTTTACAGTTTTATTGCTCATAGAGAATGGTGAAAGAACAGGTCAGGAACTTTCATTTTCATCTGGATTTTAACTTCTGGAATGCCATGCAACCATTATACACATTTTAAATGCACAATAACTGACTCAAGAGTAAAGTTCATGGAGGAGAAATTGAAATTCCATAATTTTGACTCTTTGCTGCCTCTACTTACTACCTCAGTAAGATAGAAACTTATTCCTTAGCAGAATGCTTATTCCTTAGCAGAATGCTTATTCCTTAGCAGAATGCTTATTCCTTAGCATTCTACTTTTGGGGTGCACTCACCTTGCACAGGACAAAGGAAAATGGACCTACACAGGTCTGCACAGTTTGTAAAGAGACAAGTATGTAATGCTATTCTACATAAGCCACAGCAGGGAATATKTGCAGACTTGAAAGGCTAATTGTTCTCTGTTTTCCTAACAAAATGGCATAGAGATTCCAGCTTTCTTAGAAGTGCTTCTGCTGCACATTACCTTGGAGGAACTCAGTCCTATCCAATCCCAAAAGTCTGAGAACCTGCCTCACAATGATACTTCTTCAACAGAGTATTTTGGAGCTTAAAAACTCTTTTATTCTAAAAGGTTTGCTGATGGAGGCAAAGCATAAACTTTTCCAGGCAGTTAATATGTCATTTCCCTTCAACTCTCTACAGCTRCTATTAGCCAGCCGTACAGACCACATCACACTTTATGAGATTCTTATATCCAAAACTAAATCTGAATCAGCAAGTCTCTACATYACCTGGAATGACAACAATGGGTACACATTAAATAATTGATGTTACATAGTGGAAAGAACATTTTCTGTATATTTAATAGAAGTAATATATTCTGTTTAAAAAAAAAATTAGGCATCTCCAATTACATGCACAAGAAGTAAGACAAAGAAAAGGCCGAGTCTTCCATCTATGAATAAAGGCTTTTGGAACAATGCCTACACAAACCTACTAATTTCTTCTCTGTTAATTCCACGTGGTTTTCCCAYAAGCATACCTGGTTTTCTGTAAACAATTTTGATTTGCATAAATTCTTCCCAGARAGTGAACAATTACCTAACCCAATGATTTCTCCATTAATGGACATTTTGGCAACAATAGATAATGGAGAAATCCTTGATTAGCTTCAGGAGAATTCTGACTGGCATAAACAGGCATTACATCAGTGAGAGCCTCAGAGCAAGCTTCCTTTAAATGCAGGACATTCACTGTGCTGAGGGAATATGACTGATTTAGGTATCCTGAGAAGATAAAAGTGTAGCTAAAATGTTTTTTTGCTTTTGCAAGAGATGGGCATGTCCAAGGCCCTGATATCCAAAGACGTTATACTAAATGGATGAAATACCTGCTCTTTAGATACTAATAGCCTTTCTTCAACTGCAGCTCTAGGCTCTATCCTATCCATTGGCTGAATTGCAGTCCAAGACCCCAAGACACAGCCCAAATGAACAAGAGGGCACAATTCCTTTAGCAGGTTTTCTCAGCCCTACTCCATCTGCATCTCTAGCCTCTGTCTCTCTCCCAGMCCTAATGCTAGCCCTAGACCAATGCATCACAACTAAAGCATACTGCCACAGGGGTCCAAATCACTATTTTCTCTTGAATTTTGATTTCTTTATCTTCAAAAGTCAGTTTGACATTAATAACCTAGTCATTATTATTAATGCAGCTTTTTTCATTGAGCCACAAGAATACAAAGTGGCAGCGAGTCCCTCAGTCACTGAAACACAGACTACATACCAGCAGTTCTACTATAGTGCTGCCTTTGAAACACCACTGTTGACTGAGAAGTTGCTTACTAATGCAGTTTCCCTCTAAGCACAGTGTGAAGTTACGAGTGAAAAAGGAAAAGAACAAGTACTTTAGAAGGCAAAGGATCATAGTCTGGCATCTGAAATGTACTGGAGATTTACCACAAAAGGATTGTTTAGGTTCTGTCTTTAGCAGTTGAATTAGCAAAAAAACAAGCTCAGGAATTATCTTTACAAAAGGTGACATACTGGAGCTTGCACATCCTTAAAATATAATCAAAAATATAGACTCTCAGGTCTTATGAATCCTAGCTTACTTTTGGATAGGTTACTTAAATTTGTGCAATCTCAATTTTTTCAGCARTAAAATGTAATTAATAATACTACTTTTTCTGACAGTATGAGTTCGAAGCTTAATTCATTTGAATTCTGTGAGTCTTTTGAGCTCCTTGTATGGAAAGTGTTATTAAATTAAATATGCTTATTATTTTGAGGGAGCAGCTGAAACAAAACTAATATTACTTTTTTATTGCCTACTGTATTCTGCACATACCTGTCCAACTCCACAAAAAGAGCACTTGTCCATCTGTCCCTGTTCTGATAAGGATTTACATAGTCCAACTGTGTTATATGAGAAAAGCATCAGGATTTTAACAGCACTTTTAAATTACTAATTATAAGGTTCTTTTCCTGAGTTTCATGTACTTTTTAAACTAGATTTGTTTATCCATTAAAATACATTCTAATCTCTTTCGCTGTCTTATTTAGTAACTTAGAATGGCTTTCAACTCTATTTTTAAGGACAGAAATGAACACATTGCTTTGATTTGCCCGTGTACAAGCAGGCCCAAAGYTGGTGTTGCTAGTTCCGAGCCAATATTGCACTGTTCTTTACTTAAACATCATCTACTTCTAAATAAAATTGCAAGGAAAAGAAAAAGAAAACACAAAAGAGATGTTGCCAACTTAAGTAATGCTGGTTAGATCATCACTCAGAAGTCCTCTTTTAGCTTTTCAGAGTTTAAGAACTCCAKGGTGAAGTAGCTTCCACTCAGAACTTTCATGCATTATTGACTAATTCAGTGATGCTTCCCTTGATTATAAATGCTGGGACAAAGAGCCTCCTAGATCTGAATGAGCACAACCATTAACAGTGTTTTTCCCTGGGTTGTAGTCACAGTGCAGACCATGAAGGTCAAATGCAGTCCACCGAGTATGAATCTGATCAAAAAACTAACAGAAACACAAAAGGAAAATTCTTGYCCCTTGTTGTGATCCCCATCTGGCTGGGGAAAAACTTAAAAGCTCCAACCAGTCCTAAAAAGCTAGAAATGATAATAAAAAAACTAYCCAGAAGACAGCACTGGAGAAAAGACTTGTAAGACTACTCTCCCCAGTCTACAGKTTCTGTCATATACAGGACTGAGCAGCAATCAGCCACATGGTGGGTGGARGGCCATGGCCAGGTATGCAACACAAAGAACAATGAGGAATGATTAAATTCCACAAGTGTCTAAGACAAAACAAGGGGGCTTCCAAACTCCCAAMAGCTCAGGATCTCAAAAATTTCCATACAGCAGAAAGCCACACCATCCAGAGTCCTGCACAGTTGGGTTTTTTTTTTTAATATATAAAGTGGCATAGAGTCTTTAAAAAAGATTTGTGCAACCTGCAAGTCAGCAGCTCTGAGACCAGCAAGTMTCTTTGCATTGCAATAGCAGATCTGCATATCACCAAACCAGGGAAAGCAAGCCAACACTACTTTCTTCTGAATTGACACACTCCTTTCAGATCATTTTATATGCAATTAGGAACTCGTGTTACATTTGGAGGTGTAAGCACCACTAGTAAATATGCTATTTCCCTCACACAGAAGGTTTCAGATTCATTTAAAGAAAGGCTTCTCATACATAATACATTCAGACATGCAGGGTAGAGACTAACTCCTGTTTCCTTCACAGGGCTTAAGGAACACGATTTAGTACAATGTCCAAGGTATCTCCTTGTTTCAACCAATGCAAAACCAAGCCCCAGAAACCACCTAACATTATATACTTACTGTCAAGTACCATTTGAAAACAGAACCATTTAAAACATCAGTTTTCATAGTCTAAATTGGATACCCTTGTAATAACCCCCTTGCAGATGTGCTACACTTCTTTCTCAAGATTCAGAATTGCCACTTACAATCAACCAACGGAATAAAATTTTTCTATTATTTGTGATGATTTTTTCATGGAYGGTAAAAGGATTCATCATCATGTCAGCCCCTTTATTGTTACCTACTCTGCCTTTGGGATTCAGCTGTAGCTCAGGGCCAAGCGGTGAAAGGCAAATACCCTACACCAAGTTTGCTTGTCCTACCAATTCTTTAGAAAGCAGCATGTAGGCATGACAAAATGAAAAGTAAAGAAAACAATTTAAAACTACCTTGCCATGTAGTTTGTGGACATCGTATCTTATCTGAGCAAATTCACGGAGTCCAAAAGACCCTCCAATGAGATATAGCTGAAAACAAAATGAAAGAAGACATGTTAGGACTGTTATGAAAAATAACACTTTGCATACCTACAAAAAATACTGTACATACTGGCCCAAATCATTTACCAAGGGATTCAATTATTTCAACAGAAAAAAACCAGAAGTTGAAGAAAATAATACATCAGAAAATAAGTACAGGTGCCTTCTTCCGCTCTCTGGGCTTGAATTTCACACATTTCCTCCTTCAYACAGAGACAAGTGCTACATGACTCAGACTTTCTAGGGACTTCCTCTCCTCTTGCCCTTTCTTTTCCCTCCCTGTGTGGTTTCCTGACAAACTGGCAGCAAAGGAAACTTTACCTCACTGTCACAGGTTTTATTCTCATAAATTTTCAAACCCTATRGGGAAGTAACAATGCCACACTGACTTACTCTGATGTCTGTGGGTAAGAGATCTAATTAAGCTTCTGAACAGACTATGACTGTAGCTATAGTTCAATAATATATTATCACCCAGGCTAAGAAATCAAATCCAGCACACCTACTCTTTTATTACTCCAGAGTTATCCTGCAATTTCCTCCATGCCTGTGAAGTTTAAGAATAATAAAGGAAGAAATGGGGGGGGGCTTCATATCCACATATGAAATCATTATACTATTCTTTCTTATGACAGAGTAATATCACAAAACTGTGTATGTATTTTTACCATTAGAAATGGACAGGCTGTCCAAAGATGAAATATAGTTAAAAAATAAAAAAGCTACTTGAAAATTAGCTTAGAAGASTAGCTGCTTTGTATGAGAGTCAGGTCCCTTGCTACTGCTCTGACCTGACAGACTTTCTGCTGTTCTCTATAATGCAGATGCATAGGAGGCCAAAAGGTTTCACACCTAGAGATGCACATCTAAGGAAGCATGAGGAAGCTCTAAGGACCAGAGTGAAAGAAAAAAAAACCCAACCAAAACCCACCATCACTACTCTCTTTCATCATGCAATTTTGCTGTTACAATCCTTCACTATAGGCTGTTGCTGCACAGATTTTTTCTACACATTGCTGGCTGATTTCTTGCTACGTATTAGGTTTGCAGCAATGGCCTGTGTCCAAGAATTCCTATAATTATGCTGCAGAGGTAGTCAAAGTGCATGTTCTTTCCAAAAAGTAGAAGTTCATGTCACTGTGGCCATAAAGAATTAGMAATCAGAAATAAAAAAACTGCCTTTTACACTTATTCATTCTCAAAGTTGCAGGACTCTGTTATTTCCCTCCAAGCAGTTAAACTACTCACAACCATGTGAACACTCTCTCCACACACACTTAGATGCTGGTAAGGACTGGTACCCCAGAACTGATGTACTCAGTCCAAAGAAGAAACCTATTCGCCAGTGGCCAGGAGTTAAAGGCTTCCATTGCCTCTTTCTGGACCTTTTGATAAACCTAAAACTCTAGCTGATAATTAGAAATGAATAGACACAAATTTTGCAATATTAACATCCAGTTGCTCAGCCATAGACCACCGATTTCAGAAAGCCAGTCAGAAAATCATCACATGGTAGTACATTAACTTCCAGTGACTAGAAAGATGAATAACCAAAAACTGGATAGTATCATACTTGTGCCATAACTATTTCAAGGGATTAATGATGATCTTGTGGATATTGAATCATCAAAATACTCAGTAGGAARAGAAAAAGAGGAAAGAAAAGTCTTTCTCTTGTCAGTATTTTAAGATAAAGTAAGAAAAAGTAACAGAAAGCAGAAAATAAAGTCATCAAAATGGTTAGAAAGAACCTGAACACTATTCAAGATTTATTCGATCAAATCAGAAGGTAGCACATAATGCTGAAAATCTCAAGGATCAGACTGTAATTGAATTTTAACAYGGCTGATGCTTCAGTATAAATTTTAATTAGCTGATCTTCTTTAATGCCTAACAAGTATTATGTTAATTAACAGCCACTGCATTAATAAACTAAGTCCTAATAAACACAAATCTGAAATGCTATAGAYAAGTTTATGGCTTTTACAAACCAGAGCTTACTGCCTTTTTTTCATATTATTCATATTAGTATGTTTTCAAAAAATGTCTGTGGCAGGGGCAAAAGCAACTGCACTGGAAATGGTTCAGTTGTTAAACCAGGCAGAAAGCAGCAATTACTTGTGACATCAATTAAAAATTAATTTGGCSGACAATAAGCTTGCATGGAATATATCCTGTTAAGAGATGCAATATGAACAACTGGAAGACTTTTAATGGTCATGYTCCTCATAACCCAACTATTATTTAACATGGTGAGAAAGTACACTATGACTTACAAAGCCATGCTGCAAGATAAAAAAGAAATATTACATTATTTAGCTTTAAAACTCTGTAATGTACACTGCAACTACGGAAAATCAAATTGAAGGTTGTTGCATGAAGTAAGTCACATGCTACTCTTTTTGTCTCATCACATCCTATCACTTGTTTGATAGCAACCATTCATGACACAGTTTACATTTGCATTTTACATTTGCAGCTCCAAATGGTAAAAAAAGTTGATACACACACACCTCTCTAGTCCTGTTTTGGAATTCAGGTTTTGGCCTGACACTGTAGTTTTACTCACATCACCTTAGTACTAGTAAGAGAGAAAAACCCGCTTGGTTTCTGATGTACTTCTGCTCTTGATACAGCAGAAGCAGCACAACAAGCTTGGCAAATCAGCACATTTAGCTTATCAGGCATTACCAATACAGTTGCCTTTACAWTTCCAATACTGCAATAGCTGATTTATCTTACCAAGAAACATCAGTTAAGCTCCATGAGAGGCAAAGCACATTGATGCTGTGAGAAAGTACAAATGCTACCGAAATATTACACAGTGTAATGYTGGAAAGTTAGGATTAAGATTTGATAATTTTCCAAAATACAGGATACACACAAAGACTATAACCAGTATGTTTACAAGTTCACTTGACCAATGTTCTAAAGAATCAAACATGATGTCTGACTTCACTGCAAAACCAGACCAGAATCAGTCACATTCAGCACTTATTTAATCAACTGTCAATATAGTCAGCTGACAGCCCTGAGCAGGAATCGCATTCATCTACACAAGCCAGAGCAGCAATGGACAGCTACTCAGTCAATTACCTCTTTGAAAACTGTGTTCAAAAGCCAATAAAAGACGTTATAAATGAATTTATGCAATTGTAATCGCATTAAAGGTAGCAAAGCAAAGGACTCAGTGACTGACAATGCATTGAGCAGAAGTACTAGCCTTGGTTTTAACTGTTTCCATTCTCTTCTGTTGCATTATGAGGGAAGATGCTCCCACTACTTTAATTTCAGTTAGCCACATTTACAGACAAACAACAATCAACCAGCAAGAGTCACCAGTCAAAATAATTAGAAGTGGGATATGACCCAAAATTTTCAGCACCATTATTGGCTTATTGGCTTTGCACATTCTGTAAGTCTCACATACATTTCTAGTTCCCCAACCTGTAAATCACAGAATCTCTAGTTTYCTTGCAAAACACTCTTCAATTAAAAAAGCACTACAATGGACAAATTTGTCCAGTGTAAGTCAAGGGCAACAGAGAAGTCCAGTATGTTCCATCCACCAGTTCAGGCACAAAGAGACAGTAAAAGCTATCCAGGATGCCATAGAAATATAAGTTAGGTTGGCAACATTTTAATGAAGTCAGGTTCTAGTTCACTCTCCAGTTAACTGAAGGGGAAAAGTAATGTTACATATAATRAAAATTAAAATATATTCTTTTCATTACAATTTTAGAATCATACAGATACTTAATGTACATGATAAAATATTAAGGCACTAGCATCTGAAGGATATCCAGGCTGGAAAGTTCATATATACCTGCATTCTTTTATTGTGAAAGAACTATTCATTTTATTTGCTTCACAATGCAGAGAAAAAAAACATTATGTAGTGAACATCATTTATCTAGTTATTTGAATACTTTCAGCAGATTGATGAAATGATAGTAACTTTTCTTTTTTTCCTTCATACCTGAAGTTTGACATTTGGAGGCAAGTCATTAATCAAATGAGTTAGCCAGCACTTAACACCAAGCAAACAGCTCAACAGCACTGCTAGCACAACCCCCATTAAAGATCCCATGTTGGATTATTCCTTTATGTTTCAGTGAGTACACAAAAAAAAAACCCTACAATGCTGTAATGCAATTATGCATGCATGGAAGACTTGCATGTTCCAAAACAAAATGAAAGATAGGATGTGACATAAGAGCACCATCTGTCACATACACTCAGCAATCTCAATAAACATTTTATGTAAAAAAATGACATAAAATTCTCTTTAATAACATTCTTTTAAAAATTCTATTTGTTCATGTCTCCATTGGGAAGTACGTTATGCAATCAGTTATAGATGGCATCAGACTGATCCCTTGAACTGCATCTTAGGATGGAAATACTTGTATTTGTCACCAGCTACAGTGGGTGGTCACTGAGGGCTCATAATAGAAGAACTTGGGACTTAGAATAGATCCCTTTTTTAGCTTTTGGCATAATGCAGTGCAGCCAACTTCACCTCATTGGGTAACAAAATAACAAGAAACTGTTTCTCTGGCAGCGCCAGCAATTTGCCATGTATAGGCATTCCTGTTGTTAGAGAAAGCCATTCCTACTGCAGTACCAGTTGTGAAAGACAGATTATTACAAAGCCATAAATCCCTAAATTAACTAAATCACAATATTTAGTGCTAGCAACACAGACTATGCAGTGGTAGAAAATGTTGTGATACAAGAAGGAACATGGTCATTTTGTAACCTCTTCCTCAAGACTGCTGCTGCAGAACTCTCCAGCTATTTATCAGGAGCTTCAAAACAAGAGCAAGAGTGAATTATTTTAATTTAGTTTGCAGTGACCACAGCAAAGAGAGTTTTGGGGGTTCCTTTTTAAAGAGCTGTCAGAAGTGCAGTGCAAGACTGGTGAATGATGGCAATTTGGCAGTSCAGAAAATGAAGTCTCTTTTCTTTTCCCTAAATAAAGTAGCAGGGCAAATTGCCAGTCCCAGAAAAGACCAGACAAGTCATCTTAACCTGAAGCGCCCCCCTCTGCCAGCTGTAACTCTCAAAAGTTTATTTCCCACAGCCATTCCTGCACTGGGCTCTAATGCTGAAACAGCAGAGAGGAAAACAGTGCAACCTTCTCAGAAAGTTACTAAATCTTCTCCTCACCCTCAGTGGAAGCAAAAGAGGGTCGACCTTTAATTCTTGTCTGYAATAAATGGAAATAATTTTTAGTTCACATCAGAGATTTCCTTTGGGGGAAAACAGAAACCAAAACTATGGAGCCATCAGTAGTTAGGTCATTCAAAGGCATATGAAGCAAGTAAATGCTCTGACTTAATAAATATACTAGTATCACACATTATAGAAAGCCTGAACTGCATTGTATTTTAAAATGGATGAAATATGGCAGTAGATGACCACATGGATATCCTGCTGGTAGTCATGAGCAGCAGCTGGTATAAACTGGAGCCAATTGTAACTGACTGATAAAGAGTGTAGCAGAAGAGTGTCGTTTGCACAGCATGTAGAACATGTACAGAATATTAAACTTGGCTCAAGGTATCAGGTTAATTGGCTCAGTGTAAGAGAACGTTCAAAGCAATGATTTCAAAGATTGCAAATATGAATGGCTACAGGCCAGAGAACAAAAAAAAAAAAAAAAAAAAAAAAAAAAAAAAAAAAAA